AATTTCCCCAAAAGGGATCGAACATTGGCATCACTGCCAGAAACAATCCTAACTCGGCGGTCAACGCCGAACAACAGAATGGTTAGCTCGTTTGACTCTTCCGACTAACAGTGTCAGCCGTCACGATAGCTTTTACTCAGGTAGCTAATCGTGCTGGCAGTCCTAAACGAGTCTAATCCACATACACTACCTATAATTTCCACACTTCGAGATCTTAGCGTAAAGCTTATCTCGTAAGTGTTTCCAGTCAACCACATAACACCAATCAAACCAAATCCAACATATATCACAAAGGTCACATAAACATGCATAATCTAGGAGGTAATATCTATTTTGAGATCGAAACAAAATTTTATAAAAATCCAGTATGCACAACGAACTTAAAATATACACAATTCTCAGCACATAAGTCACATGATCATGATTCACGTCTCAATTTAAACCTAAGGAATGCATCTACAACTTTCAAGAAAACTTCAAGATCAAATAATGACATTCAGTAGGTTAAAAAAAAAATCAACTAACATGAAGAACTTGGTTGCAGTCCGAGAAATAGAAACATGTTGGTGCACAGTTTCAGAAAAACAGACATAACTCATTTTATACTCGACATACTGACATGCTTCCAGAATCATTAAAAACCTAAGAGGCATCCCTAAAACTTTTATGAAAACCATATTGGCAAATAATGATGTTATAAATGAGTTTAAATATAAAATATTCGATTCATGAAATCTGTCAGAAACCAATTCATGTTACAAACAGAATCTCAGCATTTAGACTCTAATTTAGCTAAGAGCTCATATCAGCAGGCATCCTACCTCATTTGAAAGCTAAGAAACACACTTATAACTTTTATGAAGGACACAATTTCATTTGAGCACCTTAAGACATGATAAACAAGTCAAACATAGTATACACACAAGCTGCCGGTTTTTAATAAAAACTGCTTGCGTGATAATTTTGCAAAAATCATAACTCTCTCGTTTCTAAACGGGTTTTCAAAATTCCAAAACTCAATGAAAGCAAACAGGACAAGCTACATTTCATATGAAGATCACCTTTTCATAAAACGACTACTTCAAGGCCATTACAACAGTACATCAGAGGCCATGAAAACTGAAATATAAGCCCTTTACCATATGATATCCCAAAACATCATTCTTAAATACTTCATATCATCATATCAACATTTAATATCGTTTCTCTCATGAATAACACGCAATCATAAGGCGAGTGATGGGTCTCCTCTCAGATCCGGAGTGAACCAATGAAAAAACCGTCCAGATCTGGAATGAACCGATGGGAATGAGCTCAGATCTGACTCGATAGCCTCCAAACCGTTGCTGAACCGTGACAACACCTGCAAGAACTCAACACCGGAGGGGTTTCCGGCGTAGAGCCTCCGACGCTCAAGTCAGTATGTGAAAGAGATGAAGAGAGCTGCTCTGAGAGAGCAGCAGCAGTAATAGAGAAGAATGTAGAATGAATGGGAGTTAGGGTTTTGGAGTTACCTCAACTCCTTTATATAGAAGTAAAACATTTACCTGAAGTCCCCAAAATGCCCTGGCCGACTTACTGGAAATGTCCAAAATACCCTGGTCGGTTCATATTCTGTCCACCTCCTAGTCAGCATCTAGATTCTTCCTTATCCTTTAATAGCTTCCCTCTGATATGTTGAAGTGTATAGGAGTCGTCAGGGATCTCTGAACCCCGAGACTACTTCAGTCGACTTCGAGATATCCTTGTATTCGAGCCGGCTGGGTCATTCCCAAATCGCTAGTAGATCCTAATACACTTATTCATCCTTCCAGACGAAATCGACTTAGGCTAGTCGACATGGTCGAAGTCGACTAAGAAAAGCATCCGGACCTTCGATCGAATGTATTATCACGAGGAGATATGTGGGTGGAGTCGACTTCGGGTAAGTCGACTCAACAATGTCCGAGCCGGGACAACATGAACCGCTCTATGATAGTATGGTTATATCATCTAGTCCCCCCCCCCAAAATTACTCGAAGCGACTCTGAGCTTACGAGTAGATTTTGTCGACTGAATGTCTTGAATCTTTTCATATACCATGTCGCCTGTCCTTGCTCTATGCCATGTCTACTCATTATTTCGACTCGTAAAGCGACTTGTTTACCCAATCAGATTTTGAATTGGTTGGATAAGTTTGAATCTTTTTAAATTTCAAAATTCAAAAATGGGGTCTTGAGCTTTGATAAGATGCTTTCTCTTTTCACCGCTTCGTATTCCGTGCGCCATCTCATCCATTGAATCTACCTTTAATCTGAGGGCTAGGATTTCTTCCACTTCCCCTATAAGTATTTTCCCCCTTTTCTCTTCTTCACTTTTCGCACTCAATCTTTCTGAACTCTCCTTCTCCGGCAAACACAGCACTCTCAAGCTTTCCAGTGCTCTTTTCTCATTCCGGCGTTCTACATCAACCACCATGAGTATGAGTAAGTTCTCTTAGCCTTTCGATTTACTGTTATGTGCAATTTTTTTCTTCTCTCTCTCTTTTTTT